AAAGTGTTTATTTTGCCTTATTTATCTGTATTTTCTTCTCTTATATTCAAGATTATGATTTTTTAAATCTTTCAATTATATAGCAGAGACTTGTCCCATTATATTTTCACTCAATTTTATACTGTGAGGTCATGAATTTCCATGTACTTAAAGACTTGAATTTCATTCTTTTGTTTGTTTGTTTGTTTTTTGTTTTTGGAGACAGGGGTTTCTCTGTGGTGGAATAGCTTTGGCTGCCCTGGAACTCACTTTGTATAACAGGCTGGCCTCAAACTCACAGAGATCTGCATGCCTCTGTCTCCCCAGTGCTGGGACTAAAGGTGTGCAACACCGCCACCACACGGCAAGACTTGAATTTCTAAGACACAAGCTATTGTAGATGACACTCAAGAAATATATTGATGGCCACTTTTTACTTTGAATGGACTTGTGGCCTTTTACATTAGTGAGGAAGGATGGTCTCAAGTACCACATAGTTGCGTTTCTGGAATGGTTAGTTTTCCAGAAACAGGCTTATGAATGTGGACATGCCAATACAAGGACCTTTACACTGACATCACTGAGAAATTTATAGAAAAGTAGAATTAGACGAACCTCATTTTCTTGGACCATAATAGTAAATATTTTAACACCCTGGAGAACACAGATGATAGAAGTTATATGTGGCTTGCTTTTGCCAGAAAGTTGCTGTGTCTGTGAAGAGATGAAGGTTGCAGTATTCTGGTTTCTCTTTTTGTCATATTATGTCATACAGTGATGATGGGTGTGGTGACACATGAAATGTACTTGTCTCATGAGACATTCTGCTCAATGCTCACTGGTTAGCTCTCTTTAGAAAATTCTTATTCTCTCTTTGTCTGATTTCATTTTTCAGAAGAGCCATAAGCACTGCTGTCTCGACCTTTGTATAGCATTATGTAGAATATATTAGTAAGAATTTTCTAGAGAGTACTGACTTGGTGCTGTACATAAGCCATCAATTTTCAAGCATACACAAATGTCCCTCTTAATTACTTCACTCTCTTCTTTTCTTTTGGCGAGAGAAGGTCTTCGCCAGCCTGTTTTTACTCTCCCTGAAGGTTTGTATTATACAGGGAGAAATTCTGAGGGGTTGTGCCAGTGTTTCTGTTTCTTTCATCACAATAATATTTAAGTATATGAGGTGTCATCAGCATATTTTTATGTATACTGCATGATGCATTATGTCCCTGGATCCCTGAGTTTAGCGCCATACCCTTGGCACTGAAGTCAGCCATTGTAGTTAGTTGCTATGTGTTTAGAGAGAAGTAAATTGGGTTTCTCTGCAGGAAGAGCAAGTACCTTTTACCTCTGAGCCATGCCTTCAGGCTCCCGGTTTACATGTCTGGTGCACACTTGTCACAGTATATAACCATATGTATTCTAGTTCTTGAAAAATGAAGGCGTAATCATAAGTGATACTTATCTATCCTAAAATCCTATTAGATGAATGAGCTCAAATACTGAAGAAAAAAAGTTGGAATTAAGAGGTTTAAATTTCTTTGAGTCAATCGCATGAGCAATAATATATTCAAAATTAATAAAGAATTAAAATATTTCTCACTCTAGTACATTTGTTTTGATAACAAAATGTTTATTTCATATGACTGCATTGTCAAATATGCCATTTATTTACTTATGTATTTCTAATTATTCTTTATTGAAACACCATATGAAATTTATGGAATTGTTATCAATATTGTTTGTGTCAACTTTTAGAAAAATTTAGATAACATTAATGTTGTCTAATTCTACTGTTTCTATTTACTTCATTGTTGTAAATATTTCTCATAAAATATCTTCTAAAATGTTGTATATATTCAATAATTTTACAATCTTTACTCTCAAGAAAATATTGACTTTTAATTCATCCATGAATTCTGCATTATGTATTCTAACTCTTTGTTCTAGAAAGGGTGTAGCATTGTACCTAGGCCTCAAGATCTCAACTGGGCATTATAAATAGAGTCAGGTGAACCAAGCTTCAGATAGGATTGAGCTAGTGTACATATTTAAGCAAGGTCATCTGCTCTATAATTTGGAAACATACCTTTGCTCATAATAACTTTGCCCTCTGAGATGTAACACAGATTCTGTTTGATATCAAAATTTATTTCATAAAGATACATTCCCACATCTAGACCGCAAATGTCTATGTTATATTCCCTAAAAGTTTGCTGTTTGCAAGATTATTATGTCATCCTGTTTTCACAGAGATAGGAAATATATAGGCTCTGGATTTTTTTTAAAGGTATCTTTTACTAAAATTAAATTGTAATTTTATTTTACATATTTCCATATATTAGCTTGAAAGTATGTGTATATATTGGGTATGACTCCTGCCTTTAAGGTTCAGCAGAGAGCATTGGATATCATGGATCTGAGATTAAATTCTGTTTTTTGGGTTTTTTTTTTTTTTGGTGCCATGAGTGTGCTGGGCACCAAACTACATTTTCAAGGACTTTACAACATTACAGACTGCAAACTGGACACAAATTTTTCAAATATAGTGATTTTGGCAAATCTTTCATTTGCTATTCAAGTCTTAGGAAACATCAGATTATTCATTGAGGACAGAGACCTAACAGATGTAAGCAATGTACTATGTCCTGCTATATATTGTCTCTGAAAGAGTAGCAATGCAGCTCTTCTAGAAAACTCCTGTCTTTTAAAAATTGCCATGCCTCATATATATATCACAAACATGTCTCTAATTCTTTAGGTCTCTTTTAACAAAGAAGTCATTTGTCAATCAGTGCATGGTCAATAGGTAATTTTCCATTGTAGGGTCTGTTGTCATTCAGGGATGTGGCTGTGGACATCTCACAGGAAGAATGGGAATGTCTAGATTGTGCTCAGAAGGCTTTGTACATGGATGTGATGTTGGAGAATTACAACAATCTACTCTTTGTGGGTAAGAATTTTCTTATTGTAGAATTCCTGATTCATCCTTTTTATTTACCTACTTTGTGTATATGTAAACTCGCTGATCCGAGAGAATCCTTGAAATGAGGGAAATTCTGGCTCCCAACATAACTTTTTAATGGTGTTTCATTTACATTTTTCTGTGTCTTCTAAAAGAGTAACCAATGCTATATTTTCTGTGATCTCTTCAGTCTTCCTATCTAAAACATAAAGAAAATTATTTCAGTGTTCAGAGAATATTGAATATTCAGAGAAAGGAAATATATTGCAGTACTCATAATAATTAAAATATTTTAATTTTCCTACTGGATTGAACTCTTCACATATTTCTGATTTTAAACAACACTAAAAGTTTTAGAGAAAGAGCTGTTCATTATGAGAATGTT